AAAGAATCACATGACCATCTCAATCGAAGCAGAAAAGGCATTTGATAAAGTCCAACACTGATTCCTGATAAATACTCTCAATAAGATAAGAATATAAGAGAAATTCCTCAGCATAACAAAGGACATCTATACAAAACCAGCAGCCAACATCATTCTCAATGGAGAGATGCTGAAAGTGTTCCTTTTTAGAACTGGAACAAGACAAGGATGCCCTTTATCACCACTCCTATTTAACATTATGCTGAAAGTCCTAGCTAGAGCAATAAAGCAAGAAAAAGAAAAAAAGGGCATGCAAAATGGTAAGGAAGAAGTAAAACTATCCCTATTTGCAGATGGTGTGAGCCTGTATACATAGAGAACCCTAAAGGTTCCACAAGAAAACTACTGGAACTAATAGAAAGATTCAGCAGAGTAGCAGGATACAAGATAAACATACAAAGATCAGTTGAATTCCTATACATCAACAAAGAGAACTTCGAAAAGGAAATCAGGAAAGCAGTACCATTTATAATAGCATTAGTGAGCTGAAATGGACTAGTATTGGCCATTTTGAATCGGACAATCATACCGTCTACTATGCCGGGAATGACAACTTGAAGAGGAATGGTGTTGCATTCATCATCAAAAAGAACTTTTCAAGATCTATCCTGAAGTACAATGCTGTCAGTGATAGGATAATATCCATACACTTACAAGGAAGGCCAGTTAATACGAATATTATTCAAATTTACACACCAACCTCTAAGGCCAAACATGAAGAAATTGAAGAATTTTACCAGCTTGGCAGTCTGAAGTTGATTGAACATGTAATCAGTATGCATTTATAATTACTGGTGATGGGAATGCAAAAGTTGGAAACAAAGAAGAAGGGTCGGTATTTGGAAAATATGGCCTTAGTGATAGAAATGAATGCAGAAATTATCGAACAATATCATTAATATCACACGCAAGTAAAATTTAGGTGAAGATCATTCAAAAGCAGCTGCAGCAGTATATAGACAGGGAACTCCCAGAAATTCAGGCTGGATTCAGAAGAAGATGTGGAACCAGGGATATCATTGCTAATGTCAGATGGATCCTGGCTGAAAGCGGAGAATACCAGAAAGATATTTACCTGTGTTTTATTGACTATGCAAATGCATTCGACTGTGTGGATCATAACAAATTATGGATAACATTGTGAAGAATGGGAATTCCAGAACACTTAATCGTGCTCATGAGGAACCTGTACACAGATCAAGAGGCAGTTGTTAGAACAGAACAAGGGGATACTGCTTGGTTTAAAGTCAGGAAAGATGTATGTCAGTGTTGTATCCTTTCACCATACCTATTCAATCTGTATGCTGAGCAATAATTTGAGAAGCTGGAATATATGAAGAAGAACAAGGCATTGGGATTGGAGGAAGACTCATTAAAAACCTGCATTATGCAGATGACATAACCTTGCTTGCTGAAAGTGAAGAGGAATTGAAGCACTTACTGATGAAGATCAAAGCTCACAGCCTTCAGTATGGATTACACCTTAACATAAAGAAAACAAAAATTCTCACAACTGGACCAATAAGCAACATCATGAAAAACGAAGAAAAGATTGAAGATGTCAAGGATTTCATTTTACTTGGATCTACAATCAACACTCATGGAAACAGCAGTCAAGAAATCAAAACACACATTGAATTGGGCAAATCTGCTGCAAAAGACCTCTTTAAATGTTGAAAAGCAAAGATGTCATCTCGAAGACTAAGGTGCACCTGACTCAAGCCATGATATTTTCAGTCACATCATATGCATGCAAAAGTTGGACAATGAATAAAGAATACCGAAGAAGAATTGATGCCTTTGAATTTATAGAGAATATTGAATATACCATGGACTGCCAAAAGAATGAACAAATCTGTCTTGGAAGAAGTATAACCAGAATGCTTCTTAGAAGCAAGGATATCAAGACTAAGTCTTACATACTTTGGACATGTTGTCAGGAGGATCAGTCCCTGGAGAAGGACATCATGCTTGGTAAAGCACAGGGTCAAATAAAAAGAGGAAAACCCAGATGAGATGGATTGACACAGTGGCTGCCACAATGGGCTCAAGCATAACAACTATTATGAGCAGGGCGCAGGACCAGGCAATGTTTCGTTCTGTGTTACATAGGGTTTGCTATGAGTCAGAACCGACTCAACAACACCTAACAACAACAACATAACGAAAACAGTACAATTTTTTGGGATTTATAGAAAACGTAAAAGTATAATGTATGGCAAATATCAATAGCAATGAGCTCACCTAGTACCTAGACCTTGGTTTCTAATACCATTCTTCAATAAGAGGAGCCAGGACTCCATGGAGAAACGACTGATTCTCAACTAAGGTAGCAAATATGCAAGATAATACTGGAGAACCTTGAGTGCCAAAAAATAACGAAGTGCCCAAAAAAAAAAGGGAAAAAAATCTGTATTTATGGGGATATGTCAAAGGGACACATTATCTAAAAGAACACCCAACTGACAGAGCATAAACATTTCGACCAACAAACTAAATAAAATAATTTTCAATTGTAACTCAAAGTATAAAAGAACCATGAGTGCATACTGATATAAATAAATGGAAAAGAAACAAATCTATAATCTCAGTTTAAACATGAAAAAAAAATCAGACAAATTCCAATACAGAGGCATCTTATGAAATATCTGACCAGTACTTCTCAAAACCATCAAGGTCATCAAAACAAGGAAAGACTATGAATATGTGACAGCTTAAGAAGTCATGACAATTGAAAGTAATGTGCTATCCTCGATGGGATACTGGATCCTAAATAGACATTAGGTAAAAACTAAGGATATCTGAATAAAGTATAAATTTTAGTTAATAATAATTCATCAATATTGGTTTATTAAGTGTGATGAATATATTATACAGATGTAAGATATTAATAATAGGTCAAACTGGATATGAGACATATGAGAACTCTATTTTCTCAATTTTTAAATATATACTTACAAACATATACTTATAAATATGGAACTGTTCTAAATAAAGTTTATTTAAAATTGTGGATGACGATATTAGCAGCAAGGTGGATGGGTCATATTGGAGTATATATTGTTATTAAATTCTTCAACTATATGTGTAGGGATGTAAAATTATTTGAAGGTAGACTATGTTTTATATTGTAAACACCTGGGTAACCACTAATGGTCTTTTTTAAAGGAGTATAAGTAAAAATCCAATACTGGAGCTAAAATGGATAATAAAAAATACACAATTAATCCCAAAACAGGCAGAACAAAGGATAAAAGAAACAAGTAATTTATAGAATAAGTAGAAAACAATTAGCAAAATGATAGATTTTAATCCAACAGTACAACAATTATATTAAATTTAAATAATCTAAACACACTAATTAAAGGACAGAGATCGTCAGATTGGACAAAGAAAAAAAATACTGTCTATAAGAAACCCATTTTTAATATAAAGACACAGATAAGTTAAAAGTTAATGAGTATGCAAATACTAATCAAATGAAAGCCAGAGTGGCTGTACTAATATCTGACAAGGTAGACTTTAGAATAAAGAATATTTCCACAGGTAAAGAAGAATATTACACAGTGATAAAGTGTCAATTCACCAAGAAGACATATCAAACATAAACAAATTTTCACCTAACAACAGAGCTTCAAAATACATAAAGCAGAAACTAATAGCACCAAAAGGAGAAACAGACAAATCCACAGTTATAATTGGATACTTAAACATTCTTCTCTCAGTAATTGTAAGAACAAGTAGCCAGAAAGTCAGTAAGCATATAGCAGACCTGAAAATCATTATGAACCAATTTGACACAACTGACATTTGTAGAACACTCCACCCTATCACAGTGGAATACTCTTTTTTTTTTTTTTCCCAGTATGCATGCACATTCACCATGATAGACCATATCCTCGCCCATAAAATAAACCTCAACAAATACAAAAGAATTTAAATCAAACAAACTATATTTTCTAACATTAATACAATTAAAATTAAAAACCAATAACATAAATATATATGAAAAGTACCCAAATATTTATAAATTATATAACACACTTAGGTATTACAACTGAATCAAAGAGAAAGTCACAAGGGACATTAGAAATATTTTTTAACTGAATGAAAATTAACACAAAACTTATCAAAATTTATGAGAACCAGCTAACTAACCATATAACCCAGCAATCCCACTTCTTAGGTGTTTCCACACAATAAGTGATATTTGTTTGTACATACACTTTGCACATTGCTTCAAATATTTAAAGAAGTTTTGTTTGCACGTACATTTTGCACATTGCTTCAGATGTTTAAAGTAATTTTATTAATAATAGCCAAAAACTAGAAACAGATCAAATGTCCTTCAACTGGTGAATGGATAACCACTGACCTAGAGGGGACATTCCTTACAGCATCTTCTTCTGGGTGCTTCTTTATCCTAGTAATGGAGCTGGCGTGTCTTAGGAGTCAGCATAAAAAAGATGTATACAATTCACAATATTGTTTTTAAAAAGTATTTCATTTTATTCTGCATTAGCCACATTAATCATTTTAGTGTACTTTTCTGAAATATATATCTTGAATTCTGTGCAAAAGCATGGACAATAAAGTATAGCTTGAAAACATTTTTGTTATGCAAGGATTTGGAGAAGTGATCTAAAGTAACGGCATTTGGTTTATATGACTGGTGTTCAAATTCTTTGTACATTTTTACAATAATTTTTGTGATTAGAGATCAATATTTTAAGCTTATTTAAATATTAATGATATTTATTTGGAAAACCAGAAATCTCAGAGCTGTGGTTCATTTGTTGCTATGAATATTTCAAGAAATTTTTGCTACTTAGTCTCTGGTGAATTTTTGTTGTTTGGACTGCCTCGATAGCAAGGTTAACACAAAAATTCAGCAGAGATCTATCCTAAAAGTTTCTCTCCATCTGTATTTTTTGCTTGATTGAAACTGTATGAAAGCTTACCATATTGACAAAATTGATCATTCCCAAAATTCGGTTCCTTAGTTTATCATAAGGATGACTATTCCTGCGATACTAGAAATATAAAAATCAGATTAAAGAAATTCATTAACGATAGAAATGGAATAAAAGCCCAAGAAAATATTTCGTCCATTATGAAAGATCTCAAAAGAAAAAATTCATTGGTGTAATGAAGAAAGAGGTGCTCTTCTTGTTAGCTTAATGTCTGAGAAATTTATGCAGACACATTTTTGATAGAAAAAATAACTTCATACAGCAGTTTCTAAAGACAAGGTTAACACTTGTTTTTCTAACTTCATCTTTCCTTCTTTTATATCACGTTACATTGATTTATTAAACCAATTGATAAGTGTTCTTTAGAGTCCATTTTTATCACTTTGATGAAGCAAAACTTATTAGTGCCCCTCAGCAATCATTATATTGAAAAGAACAGCAGCTTCATCAGCTCTCCTGTTTCCATGGTGGTCAAAAACTAAGGAACCTATAATCATGAAAATGTCTGGAGCCAGAGATGTGATGGAGAGGGTCAGAAAACGGTGTCCCCCACCTTCCCTCTTAGAAGGGTGATCCAGTCTGTTTTGCCTTTTTCTCTTCTCAGAACTAGATTCTCATTTTGTGCTATCAGGATCTTGTTCTCAACATTAAAAATTTAGACTTGATAAAATAAGCATTAAAAATTTAGACTTGATAAAATATAATTATAATATTAAAAGGTATCCTATAGAGATAAATGCAACTGGTCAATCTTCTTTCATTATTAAAAAAAAAAAAACAATTAAGCATGCCTTTTCTGAATCTAGCAAGCATCCTCCAGTTACCCTTCCATCAACTTGAGGGTAATGGGTTTTAAGGCCAGTTTAAAGCACCTAAAATCATGCCAAGCAAACATCTACCTCGTTTGGGATAAAATACTAAGTTTAATGACCTACGCTTAGTCTTTACTAATTATTATGAAAACTTCTCTTGTTATTTTTCTAAGTTAGTTAACCCATTCCCATAAATGTACTAATGTAAACCTCTCTATTTTTCTTATGTTCAGAATTTACTAATTTCCTTTCTCAAAATTGTTTTTGATAGGTTAATTGTAGTTTCTCTTATTTGTTAAATGCGGAACAGTGTTGTATCTTTTCAATTCACAAAGATCTAGCAATTCCAATAAAAATGTTAAAAGAAAACATGTTGACAATGAATGTGTGCATCTGATTTCCAGTTTTAGAATGAAAGCCTTGTGGAAGCTGGAGGTCTCATTTTTTGTTCTTAAGGAAGTTTAATTTCCCAACTCCCAAGTACTATATCTGAAACCTACATATTGTGGGCCACCAAGTTTTCGAATTTTACTTACTGTTCTGACAGAATTTTTCTCCTTCATTCTTAGCACTTTGAAATTTTTTGTCTTCATTTGACCTTATCTGTACATTGTTAACATGTTTTCAAGTTTTTGTATTTTGTTCACAGTTTTTATATGTTCATAATGGGGTGAGGGATTCTAGTTGAGCTTAGTCTGCCATAACACCAAAAGATTCACTAGTCACTTATATAAGTTGATTTTGGGAAGCTAAAAACAGAACTCTGAAATCTGGATGGTACTCTGATTAGAATACTGTTTCCCTTTGTTAGAATCACAACTATTTTCATAAGGATGACTGAAGAGCAAAATGTTCATCTGAAAACTTACCACGCTGTAATCAGCAACAATGAACAGTTCAATATGTTTTTCTTTATGGGTGCTCTGGAAATTTATGGAAAATTTAATGAAGTGTGATTAACATTTATCATCTTAACATTTTAAGTAAAAAAAAGACATAACATTTTCAAAGTAAGAAATGTTAATGTGATTGATACAGGAAGGTGAGGTACAAAAGTATATCTAATAATTCTATGAATTTATCTAAGTAAGACTTGCTATATTATTAAAAGATGAGGTCCTTTACACCAAATTTTAATAAACCTGAGGTAACATCCCATATTTGACAGTTCTTTCTTTTTTTTAATCTTTCAGGTAAGATAACAGTAATAAATAATCATGAATATACTTTTTAGCATTTAGTTTTTTCTTTTACTACGAAAAACAGAAACTAATGTTAAAAGCAGCCCTCTATTCCTGAAAGCCAACACAGAACTGACTAATGCGACTGACTGCATCACTTCTACTTCTTCCCCTTCCTCTCAACTTCTACTTTGCTGTAGTCTCAATTCCAAGAGAATGTGCAGAAATGTTGCAAATTATAGGCCTTTGATTTAAAAAAAAAAAAAAAAACACAAGGAAATTCCTTTAAGTCTTCAGCTTTCAGTGTACATGCATTGATTAATATTTTCTGAGTAAAAATCAAAAGCATGTTACTCAAAGATTTTAATTGAGTCATTGTTTTGCGGAGTAAGTAATCATTCTGTCATGGATCTATCCATTCAACAAACATACATTAAGCATCTGGCATGTTTCAGACACCATCATGAATATGGACTGTGCCATTGTGAGGAAGATGAACACTCATGGAGCTTACAGGCTAGCATCTGGAGGGGATTTAAGGGGAAATGAACTAGTTGTATAGAAAACCTATCACAGACGGCTCTCATGTGCAACCACCACACCAGAAATTCAGCTTGCTATTATCCTTGTCTTTAACAAATTAGAACATTTGGCTTGATAAGAAAAGGAGAACATGGTTTATCATCAACACCACTAACTTCCAGAAACATGGAAGGGAAGACAATATTTAGAATAGGTTTCAGAGCATTTCACATTTTGTGTGTCTAACCAGTTATACCCTTAAAGCTATAAATCTATATGTAGAATTTTAGAAACCCCCTTTCCTTGATATTGATGGACCAAACATAGATCTACTGTAAGAATGAAGGTTTTCTACATAGATAACAAAAACAAAAAATAAGTGGACATTTCAGATTCCAGACGTATAATACAGAGTCAGACTCAGAGTTGCATGGATACTTCATTAGCTGGGCTTATAGTCTGTCTCTCCAGGTCGTAAAGGACATAATAGGTATTTTCCCTGGGGAAATATGATTTAAAAATAAAGCACTCACTTCCACTTCATGGTTTTCTGTTGATTTAGTATCTGTGCTTGGAATAGTTTTCCTGGTAAAATTGAGCTCTGCACAGGAGTAATTGGCAGCATAATGCACCTTTGGGTTATATTTGAACACCAAATGTTCTCCCTCATCTGTGTATTTCACTGGTTCAATGAGGTACCTTTGGTCATGTATTCTGAAGAATCCCCTGTGGAAATTGAGAACACAAAGTATATTCAACATCTATAACTACTCTATCCTTTCTCATTGATTTGCCTTTTCAAGAAAGGGAAACTACAGAACAACCAGAACACAATTAATGAGAACATTGACACAATGTGGAAAATGTAACTAATGTCACCGAACAACTTGTAGAGAAATTGGCAAAAGGGGACCTAATTTACTGTGTAGACTTTCACCAACAACACAACAAAATACTACTAAAAAAAGAAAGAAAGAGACAGCACCAGGCCAAAGCCCGAAGAGCATGTAGCCAGTGTTCTCGGTGGTAAAGAATGCAGTGACATATGGCCTTTGACCGCATTAGTAACTTTTTCTGAGTCAGCTCCTCTGGATTTTCAGAAGTTAGAGAGCCGAATTTCTACTTTCAAGAATAGGTAGAATGGCCATTCCCAGCCTGCAGATGTGGATCCCTGGCAGCCACCAGAGTTATTGCAAGTAATTTGGGAATCCCCATGTCCATCATGCATTAATCGTAGACTAAAAATACGAAAGTCAAATACTGTTATGTGGTAGTTTTATCATTAAAGGGGTTCTCATTCTTGAAAAGACTCAGGACTACTCAAGTGAAGTCATCATAAAGGCAGACAGAAGTTTCTTTTTTTTCCTCCCCTTTGTCTCCCCAAATCTTTCTCCTTTCTCCCTGAGCCCAAGATCTATAGAGAACTACAGGTTTTGTCTCTTAGCTTTTAGTTTCAGAAACTAGACATGCTACCTGGTTTAGTAAAAACCTGTGAAGCACTGTGGCATACTGGAAACCCATCAGACCAGAAGTCAGGAGGCCTGGTGTTTGGATTCAGTTAAAACATAAGAAAATTGTATGTGCTGGAACAATTCTCTGATTTCAGTATCCTGAGCTATAAAGTGAAAGGGCTGGTTAGATGATTTCCAGAAGTCTTCTCACTCTGAATCCCATGATCCTATACCGCAAAATCCCTCTTGCTTAGGGTGGTTCATTAGACATCTTTCCCTCAAGTAAGAACATAAATCAATTGGCCAGAGCTGATACTTACTGCTGAGAATATACAGTACCTCTTCTCCCATTGATTTTTCTATTTACTAGGATTACTAAAGAGGAACCCTGGTGGTGCAGTGGTTTAGTGCTCAGTTGCTAACAGAAAGGCCAGCAGTTCAAACCCACTAGCTGCTCCATGGGAGAAAGATGTGGCAGTCTTCTTCCATGAAGATAAAAGCCTTGGAAACTCTACGGGGCATCTCTGTCCTATAAGGTCGTTATGAGTCTGAATTGACTCAATGACAATGGGTTAAGGGTTAATAAAAGGTAAAAAATGAGGTGAATGTCTTTGAAAATCCACAGAAAAACTCATAAAGGAAACACAAAGATACTCCATTACCTCAGGCCTTTACATGTGCTGATACTGGCAGCAGAATCTAATTCATGTATGATGGATCCTTGGTAAAAACAATGATCCTAAAATGGATAAAAAAGCTATTAATACAAGTATAAATATTGACATGATCTAAGTATTAATACAAGTATTAGTTGGTAAATATTTCTGTTCAGAGTATATCAGCATTTCATTTGGATGAACTGATTTATATTAATTCCTTTCTGCATTCATTTATTTGGAAGTAGTTGGGTCTGCTTTTGAGTACTTTCTGAAACATTGTATCTTAATTGCATGATTTATTTTTGTAGCTCAGTGTAAAGTCTTTAGAGTTTAACAACCATAAGCATCAGAAATGTGACTCATTTCCTTAGAAATATCATTCCTTTAATCTATCCAAAATTCTATATCAAACTCACCTTCCTGTGCTAATATTACAGTTTTTCCTAGTTGCCTGTGAAATTAAGCCCAGATCCTTGATGATCTTTATAATTAGGTCTCGCTCTTCAACCATGTCTCCTCATGCCTTTCTATCCTGTCTCTCTCTACTTCAGTCAAGTGGTATCTTTATAATTCCCAACTTGGTAATTTGCCCATGGTGATCCCATTAGGTAATTACTCTTCCTATCATTTCCATCTTTTTAACTGCTGCCTATCTGTTACACCTTCCAGGTCCTCCAAGGACCTCAAACCTTCACAGGCCAATCCTCACCCTCTGCATAAAGGAATGTTACCCTGTTTTCCTTCTGTCCTGTTTTACAAAGATTGCACAATGACTCAGAATTTATAGAAGTTGACAGATGCCTTAAATAGATTAAATAGGTTTTAAAAACTGTACTTTTAATAAGAACGAGTAATGTCGGCTTTGTTTAGAAGAGTGCAGAGGGCGTGTCCTGGGAAGGAGAATGAAGGTATAAAAACAGAGTCTGTATCCTATAAGTAGTAATCAACTGGATGGCAATGGGTTTGGTATCCACCAGAATGGGATAAATGAACAAAGATTTATTTGAAGAATCAAGAAGAGGCTTCAATATTGGTGCATCACAAGGACTGGGCAAGGAGATATGAATAAAATAAGGGTCAATTAGAGGGAGGTTTTTAAATTGTTTAATATCTTTAGGTTTTATCTATCTAGTTTGATTACAACCTCATCAATGAGCCTTATATTTCTATGATGTCCTGCTTCACTCTTCCCCCAGAATTAACACCACACTGACTGCATATAAGTCGTTACTAAAGAAAAATACGTTAGCAATCACTGAATTGCTTATTAAGCAGTGATCAACTTCCTTTTAGGCTCAAAGGGTTATATCTTCGTCGAGGATCATTCAGTTAGGATAGTCAATTCAGGACTCATTTCTTAATATAGCACTTTTTGAAGCTGCTTGTGAAGCTAGAGTGCAGTTTCAAAATCACATCGGGAAATAATAGTTTCAGAGAAGAATAATAGGAAGGTTCCATAGGATACCATGACCTGAGGATGCCTGGTGATCTCCTCTCCTTTTGTAGAAGAGTAGGTTTCACTGTAATTTGAGGCTAGGAGCTCCCTGGAAAAGAAAGCAGAAAGGTAGTGAGTGACATTTACTCATTCTACAAAGCTCACCAATCAAACCAATCACGTGAAGCAACCTCCAGGTGGCTTTCAAATCTCTGCAAGGTTCTTTTCTCCCAAAAATCGATAAGCAAAACCAAATCCACTCCTACGAAAAGGCTTTCTATCTAGATTTCATGGATTGAAAAATAACATAAAAAGTTAGAAAAAAAACCTCAAGGAATTTTAACACAACAGTATTTCAGGAAAAACTCAGATTAAATTGAATCTAAGTGAAAATCTCTTGCCTTAGTAATTTAAATAGTTTTAAAGTTCAAGCTTATAAAATGCCCGTAAGTATGAGTATCTGACTTTAAAACTTCAATAGAATAATAAAGAGCAAAAATCTCATTAATAAAAAAGAAAATGTCTTGCCTTAAGTGCCAAAATTAATGCAAAAATCTGTGAATTAGATACATATATATTTACATACATTTATATATAGTTATATTTATTAAATAAAAGCAATATGTATTAATCATAGTAAATTTAGAAAATACAGAAAAGTACAGAACAAATTATCCTGAATCCCACCATTAAGACATAATCCTTGCTAATATTTTCATATAATTCTCTATACTCTCACCAACTGATAAAACAAATAGAACTCCCTCCAAAAAATTCAGTAGAAACAGAAAATCTAAAAAATCCTATCAGCTACCTTAATCTAACTGTTATTTATAGAACACTACACCCAACAACTGCAAAATACACATTCTTCTCCATATCTTTGACCACAAAATAAGTCAAAATACATTTTTAAAAAACTGACGTCATTCAAATTATATTCTCTATCAACAATGATACTAAATTAGAAATGAATAACAGAAAGATACCTACCCCCCAAATATTGGAAACTAAATAACACACTTTTAAATAATCCATTAGTCAAAGAATTAGTAATTAGAATTAGAAATTAGAATATATTTTGAACTGAATTATAATGAAAATACAACATTTCAAGATTTGTAAGATGCACTTAAAATAATGCTTACAGGAAATATTATAGCTTAAATACTTTAAATATAATAAAAAAGATGAAAAGATTTTGGAAGAAAAGGATAGTAAACACTAAGGAATCAGTGAAATAAACAAACAATAGAAATAATTAACAAAGCCAAATTTTAGTTATTTGAAAAGATCAACAAATTGACAGAACCCTTTAGATTGATCAAGAAAAAAAGAGGCAGAATTTAAGTTGCCAATATCAAGAATGAAAGAGGGATTATCACTACAATACTCCAGATACTAAGAAAATAGTAAGAGAATTATATTAAACTCTGTCATGGATTGAATTGTGTTCCCCCAAAATATGTGTCTACTTGGCTAGGCCATGATTCCCAGTATTGTGTGATTGTCCTCCATTTTTTGATCTGATGTAATTATTCTCCATTTTGTGATGTGTTGTAAATCCTAACCCCTATATATTAATGAGGCAGGATCAGTGTGGAGTGTATCTTAAGTAATAGCCTTAAAGACGGGGTCTTAGTTATCTAGTGCTGCTGTAAGAGAAATGCCACAAGTGGATGGCTTTAACAACGACAAATTTATTCTCTCGCAGTCTAGTAGGCTGCAAGTCCAAATTCAGGTCATCGGCTCCAGGGGAAGGCTTTCTCTCTCTGTAGGCTCTGGAGGAAGGTCCTTGTCGTTGATCTTTCCCTGGTTGAGGAGCTTTTTAGGCACAGGAACCCCAGGTCTGAAGGACATAGTCTGCTTCTGGTGCTGCTTTCTTGGTAGTATGAAGTTCACCTGTCTCTCTGCTCTCTTCTGTCTTTTATATCTCAAACGAGATTAGCTTAAGACACAACCTAATCTTGTAAATCTCATCAACATAACTGCCACTAATCCATCTCATTAATATCATAGTGATAGGATTTACAACACATAGGAAAATCTCATCAGATGACAAAATGGTGGACAATCACAGAATGCTGGGAATCATGGCCTAGCCAAGTTGACAGATATTTTGGGGGGACACAATTCAACCCATGACAGAGCATGTGACTCAAGTCACACCCTTATTCAAGTCACACCCTTGCTGGAGTAACATCTTTTATCTTACAAGAAATAAAAGGAGAGAGAAGTGAGCAGAGAGGAGACGGACCTCAGTACCAACAAGAAAGAAGAGCTGGGAGCAGAGTACATCCTTTGGACCTGAGATCCCTGCGCTGAGAACTTCCTAGACCCAGGGGAAGATTGATGCCAAGACACATGGACATCTCCAAAAGTCACCAGGCCCACAGATGTTGAAAGGAGAGAAGAACCTTCAACCAGAGCCAACAAAGAGAGAAAGCCTTCCCCTAGAGCCGGTGCCCTGAATTCAGACTTCTGGTCTTCTAAACTGTGAGAGAATAAATTTCTGTTTGTTAAAGCCATCCACTGTTTGTTAAAGCCATTCTGTTACAGCAGTACTAGATAACTAAGACAAACACTGTATGTCAAAAATCTGACAACTTGGATGAAATGGGCATTTTCCTTGAAAACAATGCAATTTAAAACTGGCAGAAAATGGAATAGATAATCTGAATAACCCAATATCTATTAAAGAAATTGAACTGGTTATCAACCTCTGCACCCTCCACATACACACAAACACCTTCAAGGGACAGATAGTTTCATTTGTGGATTCTGTCAAACATTAGAAAAAGACATAGCATCAATTTTAGAAAAGCACTTTAAAAAATGTGGCAGAGGGAACACTTTTCAACTCATTTTATGATGCTAAATCTTAATATCAAAATCTCACAAAGACATTACCAAAAAACACTAAAAATATACAGCAATATCTATCATTAACATAGTTGCAAAAATCCTTAATGAACTATTGATAAATTGAATATAGCAGTATATATATATAAAGATATGTATAATAAACAAATAGGGCTTATCCCAGGAAGGCAAGGATGGTTTAACAATCGAAAACAGATCAGTGTAAATCACCAAATTGTCATTTCAGTGGATACAGTCAAAGCACTCAACAAACTTCTCAGGGAACTTTCTTAATTTGATAAACTACATCAAGGACAAACCTACAGGTAATGTCACATTAATCATTCAATAATGAACACTTTCCCTTTAAGATCAGGAATAATGTAAGGTTGCTAACTCTTACCACTTCTACTCAAATTATACTGGAGGTCCTAGCCATTGCAATAAAATAAAGAAATAAAAGACATGATCAGAAAGGAAGAAGTAAAAACTGTCAATATTTACAGATGGTATTATTAATTACATATAAAATCTCTAAGTAATCTACAAAACACTAATACATTACTTTATTAAAGTCTCAAGATCCAAGGTTACTATTTTAAAAGTCGATTGCATTTTTTTTACTGCAAATAATAGAAAAATGAAATTAAAAGCAATTGTGTTTACAGGAGCACTACAAATACTAAAATATTGAGAAATAAATTTCACAAAAATCATGCAAGAATGCTACGCTGCAAACTACAAAACATTGCTGATAGAAATTAAAGAAAACCTAAATATTTGTAGGAACATAGCATGATGAATCAATATTATTGCAATAACAGTTCTCTTCAAATTATCTATAGAGTCAATGAAATTCAATCAAAATTCCAACTTTTTTTTGTAGACATTGACAAGTTGACTTTAAAACGTATATGGAAATACAAAGGATCTAGAAGAAATACATTGATTCTGAAAAAGAAGAACAAAGTTGTCACAGTTGTACAGCCTGGCTTTAATACTTGTTCTAAATCTACAGTAGTCAAGACAATGTGGCACTGAGTTAAGGACTGAAAAATAGATGAATAGGACAAATTAGATTTGTCAGAAATAAATCCATGCTTAAACTGTCATTTGAGTTTGGTCAAAGGTGCCAAAACAATCCAATAGAAAAAGAAAGTAATTTCAACAAAATATTCTGGAATAATAGGCCTATACATATGTAAAAACATGAACTTCAATCTCTCCTTCAAACCAGATACACACACACACACACACACACATGCACGCACGCAAGTTCAAGATGATAATCAAAACTAAAACCATGAAAAGTTTAGAAGAAAATATAGAAGAATATCTTTGTGACTTGCAGGCAGGCAAATGTTTCTGAGGTCACAGAGTACAATAACCATACAGGAAAATTTTGATAAATTGAAATTTCTTCTAGCTAGAAACTTCTACAATTAAGAAAATGTCTGAAAAAGTCACAGGCTTAAAGAACATATTAGCAAAAATTATATTTCACAAAGGGCTGGTTGTACAAAACTCTCCAACTCAATAAAAACAAGACAATCCAATAAAAAATGGGTAAAGATTTAAACACACAATTTACAAAATAAGGTATACAAACGATCGATACACACATGAAAAAGTTCTCAACAGGGAAATGCAGACTAAATAACAATTAAAAATTACCACAAACCCATTACTACAGCTAAAATTAAAAAGACCGACAGCACCAAATGGTGGAGAGGATATGGAACAACTAAAATTCTCATACATTGCTGGTAGTTATATAAAATTATACAACCACTTTGGAAAAGGGTCTGACAGTTTCTTAGAAAACTAAACATATACATACCCTGTAGTACAAGAATTCCACTCCTTGGCATTCACCAAAGAGAAATGAAAACGTATGTTTATAAAAAGACTTGTACAAAAATTCTCATAGAAGCTTTATTCATGATAGCCAAACACTGGAAACAATCATAGTGTCCGTCAATAAGAAAATAGATAAATATATTTATTTATATATATATACAAAGTATATTTATACAATGAAATACTACTTGAAAAATAAAAGAACTAGACTTCTGATACATGCAACAGCATATGTGAATCTAAATAACATTATACTGAATTAAAGAAGTCTTACACAAGAGTATGACTAATGTGATTCTATTTATAAGAATTTCCAGAACAGGCAACTTGAATCTAAGATGAGAAAAGAAAAAAGACACATGGTTGCCTCTGTCAACAAGGATTGAGGGGAGTTGACGAGGAGAAGCATGAGGAAAATTTCTGGAGTGATGGTTCTGTATTTTTGTAGAAGTTTGGGTAACCCAGGTGCACACATTTATCAAAATTAAGTGAATGTACACTTAAAATTTCTATATTTCATTGTATGGAAATTTTACATCAAAAGGAAAAGCTAAGAAAAATTAAAGTTTAATGATATAAAACGGGCTTATATTAGACAAATAATTCAGATTACATATAGGTGGCAATAACTTGAAAACATCACTACCTTGGTAGTCTTTACAAAAACTAGGATACTAGAGACTACTAAATCTATAAAATTTTGAATCATGATAGAACTTACCTTGTTCTTAAAAGGTGAAGTATTAAGTTTTTTCTATTTAGCCTGAATTCATACAACAATTCCTCTTCATACATTTCCTGCAAAACAATATCCATTTTGTGTGTGTTTGGGTGAATAGTGGAGTGAAGGGGAAAGTAGTCTTTCCAGGAAAAATGATAAATACTGATAAAGCAGAATTTTAACAGAACCAACACTATAAGGTAGATTTTACTTTCAAGTTATTTTTAAGTTATAAACCTTCAATGGCCTTTTTCCTAATTATAAAAGAAAATAAAATGGAAAAATGCTTATTTCCCCTTCATTCAAACTTTTACCATTTTTATATTTCCTTGCTGTCTCACTAACCCAAAGTAGTATATATGAGCTCTGGTGGCACAGTGGTTAAGCACTCAGCTGCTAAATGAAAGGTTGATGGTTTGAACCCACCAGCTTCTCTGTGAGAGAAAGATGTGACACTCTGCTTCTGAAAAGATTACAGCTTTGGAAACCCCGTTGGGTAGCTCTACTTCGTCCAATAGGGTTACTATGAGTCAGAATCGACTTGATGGCAATGGGCTTGGTTTTTAGTTTATATATGTATATGTGTCTATATATATATATATATATATATATATACTGTGTACTCTTTGGAAGGAAGTAACTATATACAGCCCACACTGAAGGGCTGAGGAGTTACGGTCTGTCTCCGTGAAGGGGTATCTCTATATAACTTATTTGGAATTCTTCTGTATGTCAGATTTATCCATTTTTCTTCCCACTCTATTTATTTATTCAGTCATTTATTTATATCAGTATGGTCTCATGGATATTTATTTTATACTTTTGGTTATAATATACTACTATGTTACTACATTTTTTTTGCTCAGCTTGCCCAGTTTTGACCATTGGGAGCTCTTTCAGTTGACACCTGTGAATATTTGACACATGCCTGAAGTTTTGTTTTTTGAGTACTTCTTTACTTTCTGGCACTAAAAGATGCTCCAGATTCATCTTATATATTCACAATGGGATGTTTTAATATCAACTTTAATTAAGTCTTAATACAATAAATGGCAGAAGAGACCACCATGAAAGAAAAGCAAAATGGGTGGTGGAAAACTGATTTTGCTCCCTTAGCTAAGTACCAACTTAAACCAAAACAATGGTTTGAGTAGGTGAGAAAAGAGTTGGAGATAATTTATTTGTAAAGAGAATTATTGAAGAAATATAGTAAAACATTATTTCCACATGGGAGGGGGATAGAAAGTTGTTTTTTTATCATTTCAAGCCACCAAAAAAAAGGAAAAAAAAAGGCCTCAATGGGACCATTTGGAAAGTTGAAATTTTTCGTACTTACCACCAAAAAATCTAAAACGTGGGAAACAGGAAGGCTGGTTCTAATGGTAGAGGAAAAGAGAGTTGCTGCTTTGGGAATGGTTTGCACTCCCAGAGTTTGTTGGGATGAAGTACCCCTTACTGTTCTTCATGGGTCAAATTAAAAAGCTAATGCTTAAAATGCAAGTGCCTAACGATGAATAGATAAGTAGAGCGTCAGTGAAGAAGAGGAAGACCCCCTATGCGATGCATTGGTACAGTGGCTGCAGCAGTGGATTCCAACATAGCAACAATTGTGAGGATAGTGAAGGACTGGGCAGTTTTTTGTTCTGTTGTGCGCTATGAGCCAGAACCCACTCCACAGCACCTAACAACAACAACAATGATAAACATGTGGAGTCCCTGGGTAGTGCACAAAGAGTTAAGGGCTTGACTGCTAGCAGAGAGGTTGTTGCTTCGTACCCACTCTTAGTTGCCTTGTAGACAGGCCTGGTGATTTGCTTTCAAAAGATCAACGCTGTGGAGGAGTTTTACTCTGCCCACATGGGTCGCCATGAGTCAGGATCGACTGGATGGGAGCTAACAACAACAATGATAAATATTAAGGACATTTATGTAGTGTATTTTATAATAGTGGGAAAATGAAAACAACCTAATTTTGAAGCTTGTTACTATTTGTGTATAACCTATTTTCTACAATAAATATTTATTACTTTTAAAATAACATTTCAAATAGTTTGACATTTTAATACCTAAATAAACACCTGTGAAAGCGACAAGTCAAGCAGACCTTTTTGTTCCTCTGAAACTTATCCAGCTTTGTTGCAGAATATGTAAAACAAATAAATCTACATATCCGATCACTAGGAAAGTAAAATGGTCAGAGATTACACTTCATGAACACCTGCTTAGAACACATGAGATTGCCTTAATTCAGCCTGGAAATGGGGCACAAGCTGTTGGTAGGACTTCTCATGTAAACTGTAAAATTAAAAAAAACCAAACCCATTGCCGTCAATTCCGACTCATAGCTACCCTATAGGACAGAGTAGAACTGCCCCTTAGGGTTTCCAAGGAGATGCTGGTGAATTCGAACTGCCAACCTTTTAGTTAGTAGCCAAACGCCTAACGACAATGCCACCAGGGCTCCAGAAAATAACACCCCCTAAAACCTGAAGTCAACTGTGAGGTGAGTTCTGCTTACTCCTTTTTGTTTCCTAATCTATGGTGGGATTGTTTTCCCCGAACACATCTGATAAACTGATGAGAAAAATAAAGACTCCTTTGTTTATGTTTGCTTCTCTGTTGGAGGCAAAGGCAGCTTTCTAAATGTCATATGAGAGCAATAAACCTTAATATTCAATCAAAACCTGTACCTGTATGTCAGGATCATGGGTGTGCCCCAAATCTCGCTTGTGTATCATAGGAAGTTTTTTAGGATAAACCAGTTCTTGACCCTTTACTCCAAGGATTGTCTTTTCTAAAAGGAAAAATAAGAATGAAAATACAGTTGGCATTAACATTTATTTACAGTGAATGAAAAACAGACCTGTTCTCAGAATTCACTTGCTCCCAATTGGCAGCATCCCCAGCAATGAAATATCATCAGCCTTACAGTCAGGGAATTTGAGACTAATATTTACAAATAGGAAAATAGAAGAAAAATCAGAAAGTATGCAAAAAAAAAAATCAGTCTCTCAGCTTCTGCTATATTTGTACCTTGTTCTTCAGTTGTCACGCCTGTCTCTGGATTCTGCCTCCCAGGAAAGCTTTTTCAATGTAAACTATTGAATTTTATCTCCCAGGGATATTTACTTCTAAAGTATTAGCTACCATAGATAAATAAAAGGCTTTCTCTCTTTAAAAGAATTTTAGGTCCTTTGAGTTAGTTTTAGTCCCTGGGTGCTACAAAAGGTTACTGGGCATTTTGCTGCTAATCGAAAGGCTGAAAGATTGAGTCCCCCAAAGGCACGTTGGAAGAAAGTTCTGGTGATTAACTTCCAAAAAAATCAGTCATTGAAAACCCTATGGATCACAGTTCTACTCTGACACACATAGAGTCGCCATGAGACGGAGTCGATCTGAGAGCAGTGAGTAACTGGTAAGAGTTGGTGCTAAACATAATCTTCTGCTTAGTTCCTATCAAACTGGTAGTCATCTGTGAGGTGAGCTCTACTTGCTTATGGTATGGTAGTTAAAGAATGAAGGAGCCTTGGTGGTGCAATGGTTAAGCAGTTGGCTGCTAACCAAAAGACCTGCAGTTTAAACTCACCAGCCATTCCGTGGGAGAAAAAGACCCATAAAGATTTTAGCCTAGAAAACCCTGTGGGGTAGTTCTACTCTGTCCTATAAGGTTATAGGGTCACTATGAGTCAGAATCAACTCGACGGCACACAGCAACAACAGTTAATTAGTGATACAAGAGAAAAGGTACAGACTTTTTGTAGTCTGCTTTGAGTTTGATTCAAGGTTTTACCAGTTTATTAGCAGTGAGACCATGAATAGCATATCTAATTTTTCTGATCTATATATATTAGTCTTAATTTTCCTATGTATAAAGAGGAGATAATAGTAAAGAGTCTTTAGAAGTGTAACGTACAAAGTGGCTAAAGGCTAGCACAGTGCCTGCTACATTGTAGGTTCTTAGTAAATGTCTACTCCTTCCTTCTTCTCACTGTGGGTCAGAGTGTCCAAGAGTCATGTAGTAGTTCATAGACGCATAGAACCTCAAGATTAGCAATAAATTCGTCTGTGCCCTGCAGTATTTTATAATGTCCTCACCAACATCCTTGGTATAAACCTCAACTGCACTCACAAGTAAGTATCCCATTTTCTTTCTGTATTTCTCTGATCATAGTTTGTCCCACAATTTTACTAGGTTCAACTAAAAACTCTGTATGTAGTACCCCTCATTGGTTCTCAGGTTCTTACTCTACACTCTGGTGCTACAAAGAAATCTAATCTTCTTCTATATGATAGTCTTTCAAATATGTGGGGACAGCTATTTTGTCCACATCTCTCGCAAATTATGGCCTTCCAAGCTTCTTAAAATGCTACTGTTTCAATTGTGTAAATCTTCTGTTTGGATATGCTTGAAGGTAAACGATGGGTGAAGAGGACTGATTTTTAGACTAGTAGTCCTTGGGAGAAGATACTGAGATTCTCCCATATAATCTAGCCTCTTAATATTGATGAAGAACTGAACCTTAATATATATCAGGTGCTTTGGTGAGGGTTACATGACGATTTACTAAACGAGTCAATGCAGAGATGGACTCAGATCAGGAATGTTTTTTCGATTGGTCACTACAGTCCCTTCCAACTTTAAATTCTATGGCTCAGACCACAGTACTATTCAGAATACTATTTTAACTCAGAAAAAAATGTATACATTATAATTATTTCAGTTTTAATTATTTCTGAGCCTTAAATAAAAAAGAATAGGAAATCTCCCACTGGACACTTAGATTTTTCCAGAGTGTTTTAAGAGTGGGAAGCTATTTTTTACACACATTTCTTTTCTTTCAGAGTTGTTGTGTGCAGTCAAGTTGATTCTAACTCACAGTGACTCCATGGGACAGAGCAGACTGCCTCATAGGGTTTCCAAGGCTGTAATCTTTACAGAGGCAGGCTGCCACATCTTTCTCCCATGGAGTTGTTCATGGATTCCAACTGCCAACCTTTAGGTTAGCAGCTGAGCACTTAACCACTGTGCCACCAGGGCTCTTTTCTTTCAGATGGAGGATCTAAATCTCAAATATTTAAAATTTCAAAGTAAGTAAAAGTACTATACTCAGATCTGCCCTTTGTACCATACCAGACGCAAAGAGATATTACCCGAATGTCTATACCAAGCAGTCCTTAAACCACATACAGCTCGGTAACAAAAAAGTGAGAATTTTTGGCTTAGTAGATGCTGCAGGAAAAATAGAAACTATATAGTCTCTGTCTGTACTGGAGTTACTTTTAATTGAAATATAGTAAGACAGTAATTAAACAGAACCTTCACCTCAAACTTTCATACTCTTGTTTTCAGAGAGGGGAAGCAAATCATAAGAAAACAAGATGATCATATCCGATCCAAAGAAAACATCTTTTTCTTACTTTTAATCTAAGCAGGTATATTTTCGGCATTTAGAGTTCTTACAATAATGAATAGCACATGCTGCTCTCTACATATTAATTCCTTTTGTAATTATCTTCAATTGCAATTAAGTTGGAAACAAACAAATAAACCAACGAAAAACCCATCTACTTCTCCCAAACCAAGCAAAACCTTTATCAGCCAGTCTTCTTGTAAATCAAAATTTTAATGAACTGGTCTCTGCTGTCTCTAGTATTTGCAAGTACATTACAGCATCAGTTACAATCGAACACAGCATTAATATGGAATTAATTATTAGTGAAATAATTAAATAATAATAATAAAATATTAAATAATAATTAAATATTAGTGAAATAATTAACTATTGATGAAGATGAAAGCTTTTTTACCCCTGCTGTCCACATTTTCTTTTTTTATGTTTAGTCTTACACTTAATTTTATCCAATAATAAAGACCCTGCCACAACATTAAGAGAGAAGATTCGCAAGGCTACTCTGGCTGCGATGTTCACAGCAAAATTGTTAGTGGATATTTAATATTTTTATCATTTCCAATTTAAACTTTGTGATTAAAGAGACATTACCTCGTAGTATAATAACAAATCCCTCATAAAAACATTGAAACATACCTTTAAACTGAGAAAGGAATAAAATCATCAAAAGTATATATCTGGGAATCATTCTGAATGGCTCTGATAGAAGGGGGGCACATATGCTTGAGAAAAGATGTGCACAGTTCTTCCTTCTTGCTTCCAGGGCAAGGATAAAGAAACTGACCAGGTAGACAGGCGGTTTTGAACCAGCACAAGGAAATGAGCCTGGATCACAGCACGCAATTGGTTTTGTCCTTGAGGCTAAAAGCTAGAGGGTGAACATCATGTACTAATTAAGGGTAACAATGAGGTAGTGGTGGTGGAGGTGGGTTGGGAGTAGATTTCTATTTCATATCTAATATAAATATGACTTCCAGGTGTGTTACAATTCAAAAGTTAAAAACAAATCATGAGTGTCTTACAAAATATTTTTTTCCACACATACTCACTTTCATTTATTTCCTGTTTTACAACTCACAATTCCAAAGGCTTCGCAGGTCACATTTTGTTAACTTACTAGTTAATAGAAAAGAGTTTTATTAGGTCCAACAGAGAATAAGATCACATGTTCTTTCCCATCAAGTCATATGTAATAATAAGTTTTTCTTTATAGCTGAAGCTCAATTTGTTTCCTATGAAATGAAACATATAAAACATGTCATTAAGTCAGTTTTATAACATACTTAAGAAATTAATAAGCTATACAGAGAATCATTATCAATGTATCTTCAGCATCTGTTTTTCAGTATAATCCTAAAGGCCTGTGTTGTCACTTTGCTTGAGTTAAGTTACTAGTCTTTCTTTTATGAATATTGCATTTTTCACATTTCCATGGCATCTGCTTCAAATCTGTGTTTGCTTGTTAGCTTGCAACACGCTTTACTCTTTGGTCTGTCAAGAGTTACCTCTGCATGCGCTAAGTATGTCCCAAACTTCCACAACACCAGCCTCAAATTTCTGATTTATTTGTTGGCCTATAACGCACTTCCCTATTTGATCTCCCAGAGTTACTTTCCGGAGACCTGTGAGAAGCTCTCTTTGACTCCTGCTTGGCCATGCTATGTTTCTTCTGGCACCTGCCATAACTGGTTTCACAGCCCTGCTGCTCCTTCACCTTGTATACCAGAGGGATGCTCTCACATGCACCAAGCTTCAACTTCAGCTTATTTCTGGTGGGCCAGATGATGAACTGGGGAGAGAGGGAGCTCTCGGAAGGCTTCCAGATTATCTTCCTGCCAACATCTTGATCAAGCCTGCATCTGGAAGAATTCAGAGTAATCTGTGGACAAACTTCTTGAAAGAGACATTCTACCTCATACATTTCCTTATCATCTTCACTTTCCTCTTCTATCTCCCAGTCTTCTGAATCCTCAGAGAGTCAGCTGTCCTAGGCACCATTTTTCTTTAACGCATAAGTTGTCCTTAGATTTGAGGAGCTGGTAGAGGCTTCAAACTTCCTGCGTTTCTCCTTTTCATACTCTTGCTTTCTGCCTTTCTCCTTTTCAAAGTCTGGTTTCTTGCCATTCTTTAGCTTAAACTCTGTATGATGCTGGAGACACTCCATAAATTTGTCAAGTCCTTATAATAAGCTGCCTCAAGTTCCTCATCCAAGACTGTTTCTTGAGTGGACATTTCCTCAGATGAAGTTTGAGGACTATTCCATGAGAACCAGGTTATATCACAAGAAATAGCTTCATCAACATACTTGAACCACACAGCCAGGAAGGCAAAGAAAGAGGTGTTGTTTCAGGGGAGAAAAAACTGATGTCCAGGACTCTTTCCCTATCATTGAGGGGTTCTGGGCATTGGACTGCAGGCTCACGTCATTAACAAGCTCCTTGCTGGAGCAGAGTGGACTCTCCTGCTGGAGCTCACTTACATCTTTACTAGACTTGCATACTTCTGACCTCAAGGTGTTCTGGCTTTCAATCAACTGGCCATCATCTGCAGCTTCTGCTTTTACTGGTGGTGACAGGATTTTGGAAACAACCACATACCCTTTTTTTTCTTTATCCAAGCTCATCTCCATGCCAGATTCTGACCCCTTGTCTCATACTCCTTCAGGACACTGCTCCAACAGCACAGCAGCTCTTCGCTCATCTGTGTACGTAATGTCGTCCTCACCCTCTGGAGGGTTATAGTGCACACGAGCCATGTTTTCAGCAGAACTCCCTGAAATCAGATTGTGCTGCACCTTGTCCTCTGGCATGACTTTGCCATAGGCCAAGTCATACAAAGGGATGGTTTCTTTAAAAGTCTGAGAATTATATTGCAAGGATCCATTGCCATATTCTGTTCTCACGTACTCCTTCTCAAAGTCATAACTTGCTGGAGGTGTGTTTCTATGTGGAGTGGTATTAGAAGGGCTCTTATCATGTAGCTTCCTCTCCTGAGCAACAGAAGATAAAGCCTCATTTGTTTTCTCAGGGGCAATGTCAGTTTCTGTTTCAATAGTAGTAGTATGAACACTAATCATTCTATTGATGCCAATCAATGTCATGGCTGTCAGCTTCCAAGTGGATATCTTGTTTTTTTGAATCTGTTTTCAGGCTTTTGAGGATCAGTTTGAGTTTCTTTGGTTTCCTTTTTTTCCCCAAGGCCACTAAGGTGCCAGAATCTTGCTGTATGATGATACTTAGGGAATGGAGGTCTTTGGTTAACTCTGGTAGGCAAAATAAAGCCAGGATACCAAGCAGTGCTACTGGATAATATGGAAAGTATGGATTTCCATTTCTGAAACCAGCCCCAGGAACACAGAAGGGATTATAGACAGGATTTAGGTGCCACGGACCTGGATAAGGCTGCTCGGCCATGGCCTGCATATAAAACAAGGGTCTGGCGTTGCTGTCCTCAAAATGTGCATTGTTTTTTGAAGAGTTTATTTGCTAGACTGCGGGTATCGAATCCCATGACTGGCTTTACAAAATATTTTTGAAGAATGTTTTCATAAATTTTGGTTGAAGAAGGTCTTTTTACATAGATACTTCATGCAGAAATCATAAAGGAAAATTTGATAAAAATAAACTAAATATAGTTTAAAATTTACACGTTATAAATCACAAATAGATTAAAATACAAGCAAAACATTTGAGAAATGTATGGAACATATATGATAAAGGAGGGAGTCGATATCCTTATAATGGGGAACTCTTTCAAATCAATAAAATGGAAAGGAAAACACCAATAAACAAATGTGCAAACGACTTGTACAAACCGATCTACATGCCAATGTTCTCCTAAAGGAAATATCCTTCTGCCAATACAACTCTTCTATCTTTGTTTGGGATTCTATCAGCTTACTCCATCTCACATTAATAATTATCTAATATTCCTACAAATTGAACCAATTATCTGTCAACTGGAAATTTCCCTTTTATATGTACACAAGCTCACTGCTCTCCCTTTTTAAAATTCCTGCCCTCAATATCTATACCCTATACTCCATTATTATCTTCTTTTTCATTATCTTTTCAGTTAAACATCTTTCAAAATTTATCTGTATGTCTTGAAGTAACTTCCTGATCTCCAACTCATCCTAACACATTCTAGTCTAGCATCTGCCTTCATTATTCTGTGGAAATAGTCCTGATTAATGTCTGGAATGATTTTCCTGTTTCTATATCCAGTGAATGTTTTGATTCTCCTTTGCCTTCTCAACAGCTTTTGGCACTGTTGATCACGCCCTCCCCATTGAATTATTCTATTTAGCATTGTTGACACTACAGTATTCTGAACTTCTCCCTAGCCCTCTGGCAACTCACAGGCACGTCCTTTTCTACAAAACCTTCAAATTTTGGAGTTCTTCAAGATGCTACCCCTTACCCTTTTTTCTTTTAACTGTATGCTTATTCCAAATCAATCTCATCCTCAGTATAATTTAATTATCATATTTATGCCATGCCTCACCTTTTATAGTTCCAGATATCTTAGCAAACAACTTGTATAGCCAACTCTCTACTCAACATCTTCACTGGGATGGCTGACAGCCCCTAAAAATCAATAGGTACAAAACTTAAACTGCTTTATTCCCCAACTTGGTCTCTGTGTTAATGATGTTGTCATCCATTCAGTATTGCAACTCTGAAACCCAGTACTCATCACTGACATACCCCTACATCCCTCATAAAGAATTCATAACTAAGTGTTTGATTTTAACTCCTCCAAATATTCCATTCACTTCTCTCCAGTTTTTCAGCCTCCATCCTGGTCCTAGTTATCATAGACTCTTTTGACCATATTCCAACAAGTATGACAAGTATGACCTTTTCAAAATGCAAAACTGATTATGTCATATGCCTGTTGAAAATGGTTCAATAGTTTTTCATTGGTCTTAGGGTACAGATTTATTTGACTTTCAAAGTCCCAATAGAATATTACTCAGCCTTAAACAGAAATGAAGTCCTGATACATGCTACAGCATGGATGAACCTTGAAAACATCATGCTGAGTGAAATAACTAAGTCACAAAAAAACAAATATTGTATTATTCTATTTATACGAAATATCTTGAACAGGCAAATGTACACAGACCTAAGGTTATCAATGGTTACCAGGTGTGTGTAGGAGGGAGAGGGAAAAAAGTGATTCACTGCTTAGGAGACACTAAGCTTGTGCTAAGGGTGATGTAAAAAGTTGGAAACAGATAATGGTGATGGTTGCACAACATGACGAATACAATTAATGTCACTAAATTGTACATGTGAACAATGTTAAAATGGCGAATGTTTTGTTACATACATATTTACCACAATAAAAAAAGGTAAATTGCCTGCCACTTATTAGCTCTGAGGCTTTGGACAAAATATGGAACATTCTTGTGCTTCTGCTACCTCATGTATAAAATGGGTGCAATAATAGCATCTATCTCATAGATTGTGTGTTAAATGAATCTGTGCTGACTGGCAATTTTTTTACATTCCCTGGCTCATTCACTCTACATTGACTCTTCTACACTCTCCCTTCTCTCCTCAGATCTCTAAATACTTTATTCTTCTTACCAGATGACCACCTTGCTTGCTATTTCACTGGGAAAAAAAAAAAAAACAAAATCTCACCTTCTCCCACTTGCATATCTGCCTAACTATCAAC